GTTTATATAGCGAGCCGCTTGCTCCAAGCAGACACCCGCTTGCAGCCGCACCTACTGGTGAACAGACGCTGCAGACTTCAGTGAGCCCTTAAACCGAATAAGTCAGAGTGGCCCCACCGAAGCTCCCTCTCTTTCTGCCGTGACCCAAGGCTCCACTCGGATTGGTTACCGCATCTCGCACATGGGTTGCTCACGTTGCCCAGAGTGCGCGAACGAGGACGCAAGAGTCGGGATTGAGTATAGCCATGCAACTGTAACTGCATACCCAGCGCAATGACTATACCCCATTGCAATTTACTTAATCTAAAATTTTCAAGGTGGTAATTCTCTAATTTTTTAATTTTTTTATTTTAAGTTAGACCACTAGCAATACACCGGTGAAAACTGCGTTCAATTCCATGCATTAGTTTTCGAGTGATGCGCGTGCAAAAATACAGACAGACAGATAAAAATTCGAAAAATGGTTGATTTGGTTTCTGTGGCGCTAATAAAGACCCCCACATTAATTTTTCTTTAATATCTCTAATGTACAGACATCAGCCTGTTGCAATTTTGTTATATTTATAGAAGATAATGGCAGTGATGAATAAATGCCCTGATACCACTTAAATAAGTCTTTTTTTTCCATTTTTAGTCTAAAATTCCAATGAAACAAATATCTCTGACTTCTATGCCCACAAAATATTATTGGCCAGCTTTTTGGACTACTTAATAATATTTTCAAAATAATAATATCGACCCCTTTGGGCGAAACTATCGTGCGTGCAATTTTTTTGAAATGGACTTTTTGCTGCAAATTTGTTCTACACCACACAACGCATCACCTGGTAAAATATTGTACCTGAAACACACAAACAGACTAACACCAAACATTTACGGTATGTTTTGTAGTATCTTACAATGCAGGTTTTTGTGGCGAAATGATCGTATATGCCATACGAAAGTATTTTGTAAGTAGTGAAAAAATAAAAAAAAAGTTTAAAAGGATCGATATATGTCAGTATATAGATTAAAAATATCGATGGTCAAACAATACCAACTCATAACAGACAACTTTTCCTAAATTTAGTTAGTTATATACATAAACAAATTTTAAATTTTAGTAGCTGAAGGCGCAACTTAACTTTCTCATACTGACCGTCAACCTAGTGGTTGCAAACCAATTAGAAGTAAAACAATTCCATAATTTTGTAATAGTTCTGGAAATCTGAAACTTCTTTATAACTAAACACTAAACATAATTCCCTTCATTCTTATTACAGCTGGGGAAAGTGCACATTTCGAAGTACAATTTGCGGAAAAGCCAGGGTTGGTGGTTTGGCTAAAAGATAATAAACCGTTGGTGGATAAGCTTGCAGACCGTGTAATCCAAACTGAGGCGGCAATGAATTCATACCGATTAGATATCAAAAACTGCAGGTAACTACTTAATTTTGAATTGAAATAAAAATTTTAGAACTTTCTTCAATTGCTATATATAGTGGGACTGCTCTAATAATTGAAGGATACTACACTCTATGCCAATTCTATTTGCGCAAAGAGATATTGCCGATAATTATATCGCACAGTGTGCGACAATATCTCTTCAACAGTATACCAATTAAAAATTTTTGGTTTTTATTATTAACTAGCCAATGCCTGCTTACTTCGCGGCGACTAATAAGAACTTTTTCGTTGGCCAATTAAAAAGAACGTTTAAAAGGAAAAACAGTCTGTAAAGTCAAAATTTTTAGCTTCAGTTGAAACCACTAAGGCACAGCATTCTCGTCACACATGGGCGTCGCCAGGATCGAATTCAGGGGAGGCCGGGACTGACATATAAAAAATCCCTCGAAAATTTTATTTCAAAATTTTAATGTAGTTGATTGATTAATCCTTATTAATACATATGTGTAAAATAAATGGTTCCATTTGAAAAGACAATCTTAACTAATAGCCAAATATAAATTTAGTTTAGTAAGCAGAGTGGAGTACTAAACTTACATTATTTGACTTGTTTTCATACAAATGTAAGAAATAAAAAAAAATGTAAGAATATAAATCGACACTTTAGTGGAAGATCGACCTATCTTGGCAGCCAGTTCANTATTATAAATCGACACTTTAGTGGAAGATCGACCTATCTTGGCAGCCAGTTCAAAAACGCCCTATTTCAGAAAACTTTTAAAGATCGCCCTATTTCATAATTAGGTTAAAGAACGCCCCCCTAACTCAGAATTTTATTGNAAATTATATCGCACAGTGTGCGACAATATCTCTTCAACAGTATACCAATAAAAAATTTTTGGTTTTTATTATTAACTAGCCAATGCCTGCTTACTTCGCGGCGACTAATAAGAACTTTTTCGTTGGCCAATTAAAAAGAGCGTTTAAAAGGAAAAACAGTCTGTAAAGTCAAAATTTTTAGCTTCAGTTGAAACCACTAAGGCACAGCATTCTCGTCACACATGGGCGTCGCCAGGATCGAATTCAGGGGAGGCCGGGACTGACATATAAAAAATCCCTCGAAAATTTTATTTCAAAATTTTAATGTAGTTGATTGATTAATCCTTATTAATACATATGTGTAAAATAAATGGTTCCATTTGAAAAGACAATCTTAACTAATAGCCAAATATAAATTTAGTTTAGTAAGCAGAGTGGAGTACTAAACTTACATTATTTGACTTGTTTTCATACAAATGTAAGAATATTATAAATCGACACTTTAGTGGAAGATCGACCTATCTTGGCAGCCAGTTCAAAAACGCCCTATTTCAGAAAACTTTTAAAGATCGCCCTATTTCATAATTAGGTTAAAGAACGCCCCCCTAACTCAGAATTTTATTGAATTCGGTTTAAAATCGCCCTAACTCAGCTGCCGATTCTCAGCATATTTTCAACAAATTTTCATTTGAGATAGGGCGTTTTTGAACCGATTTCTGAAATTGTTCTTGAACCAAATTCTGAGATAGGGTGTTTTTCAATAGAATTCTGAGATAGGGTGTTTTCCGATAAAATTCGGAAATAGGCCATTCTTCAACCCAATTCTGAAGTAGGGCGTTCTTGTTTAATTATTATATATGTACTCAAAAACATAAACAATTTTAATATTGTTATACATATGTATAAATGCAAAACATTACCATCTATCGGCGACTGACGCCATCTGTTACAGGAAAATTCTGACTGACCATTATTATTGTAATTACCTATCAACTGAATTTCAGATTTTATAAAATGCATTCACGATGCAGAGATTTTGTACAACTTCAACACGTGACTGACGCGCAGGATTTTAGTGAATGACTAATGTCATACTACTTTTTAATCAATATCTTCTTAATTTTTCAGAATTGGTAAAGTAGTTGCAAGATTTAGACTGACTGACACCAGGCTATTTCTCTACACCACAAATTCAGCTTTTATAAAATGCTTGCAATACCTTGGCGCTCGCCTCTAGGACTATAAGTCTCGTAGAAAGACTTTGAAACTTGATTTCCCAAAATTCTAATTTTTACACATTCATGTTTCTGGCATGCGGGGGACGATATGTACTTGCCGATTTGTTTTACAAAATTCATTTAAAAGCAGACGTATCGGTCGCTTAACAAACCGGTCAATCGTTTCTGCAATTACTTCACTTTGATTCTCTAAAACATATTTTCGATGTATGCTTAAGATACATATACCTAAAGGTAAATTATGAGAAATTAAACTGATAATTTATTAAAACTAGTAGTAACCCTCGAAATTCGAGTGAATGCAGTAAAGAAATACTTACTAATATTAGGAATTTAAATTTAAGTATATAAAAAAACGTGATATTCATGAATATAATTCAATATTTAGCTTAAGATTTATTTAAAGAACTTCGTGAAAGACAACAATTAATCTTATATTGCTAGTGACCTGACAACCCAGGATAATTTTTAAGTTCTTAAAGGACCTTACTCTACTCAAAGCTTCGTACCACTGAGAAAACCGTCATCTCTAAGGTATAGACTAACCTTTCACAATATATGCCCAAGGTAAATCTACCACACATTTTTGTATTTAAAACCTACATCATTTTTAGACAGAACTTTTGTTTACAATATTCACATAACTCTAAAATTTCAATTCAATTCTAATAAGAAATTAAAAAATTAATCAATAAATAAAAAAAAAGACATAATGAATTTGGCTTTAAATTTATCTGTGCTTTAGCTTTTTAATATTTCAGATATCCGCATATTTATATTTGCTAAAATATTATGCAATGAAAAGGAGTTCTTTGTTCCATCCAATAAATATAATATAAGTTTGTTAAAACGTCCTATGTTTTATCAACTTAATAAAATGAGTTGCTGGTTTGAACTGTATACTTTTTAAGTCTGGTAAAACACCCAAAAATATTTAGTACGAAATACATATATATCGCACACTGTCTTCAAAAGAGGCAAAACACAAAAAAAAAAATTGGTCGATTCTTTTTTGCATAAATCAATTCGTAGAAATTTTCTCAAATTAATGAAAACATTTTTTTCTTGATGATTATATTTTCTAGCTATAAAACTTGTTTTTGTATCACAAGTTGCGTTGAATCTGTACGATCCACAAGCACTTATAGTTCCGGATCTGATTGATTTGAGTTGAGAATTGGAAAATCTACAACATCTTATTCAAATCTAACAAAAATTTTAGTATTACACTTTTAAACTAGATCTTTCTTAACAAAAATTCAACCACTAATTTAAAAAAATTTAAAATGTGTATACCGGCTGATTTTGTATCGATCATTTCAAAAATCAAATTAAAAAATTTGTAAAGCTTTGAGCTTTGCCTTCATTCAGGGTCCTTCGTAATGGTCAGTGATATCTTAGGTGTTTAAAAAAGAAAGTGATCTCAACTATTTTTATACATTTCATGAGCATGAAATGTATAACTTTGGTCCGATGTTTTTAAGTATCAGCATAAGAAGAGATAGACCCATTAAAATGTATACTTAAATGATCAGAACGGCGAGCTGAGTCGATTTAGCCATGTCCGTCTGTCCGTCTGTTTGTATGAAATCTAGTCTCTCAATTTTCGAGATATCCGGATCAAATTTGGGAGGTGGATGTATTTTTATAATGTACTATCAGAGCACACGACGTCGTTCGGGTAAACAGTAATTCAGCATACAGTTTCTTTCTGTTTAAATTAAGGCATCCTTATGAGCCATACTTTAAGATTTATCGTGCTTCAACTAATATATGGTGATCATCACTTTCTGTACTACAAATCTTGTTCCATCATTAATAGTTGCGTTCCCTAACCCGCAAGAGTTGCAAGAATTTACAGGAGTATACCAGAAAGCGTTCCTGTAGTCGGTTCTCTCGCTCTCATCCGCTTCGCTGAGTGTATAAAATTTCTTCGTGCTACATTAGATGTAATTTATTTTAATTAAACACAACATACTTAAAATATGCGAAAATCAGGCGATTTAAAGGTTTTTAATATCTTCGAAATATTTTCATACTAAAACTATCTTAAACCTATCTCTTGTGATACTTTTTCATACTTATGTACATGTAGTTAAGAAATGATGCCATTTCAAAATCATTGATACTCATATTGTAATAATTTATTGAAATGTTTGAAAATTTTGAATCTTTTTTTTTATACCGTTAATTCCTATAATCCAAGTTGAATTTTAATTTTCAAACATGTGGAGTCCCTGCTATTCATATGTTGCTTAGAAATAAAGCCTTTTCAAGACCCTTCCGATTAAAACATAGATTGTAAAAACTCATTAAACTTATAATATAATTGTATTTGAATTTACGTTTATAACAGGTGGCAACCCTCTTTAAAGACCTCGGAAAACTCTAAATGTTTAAGCTGAATCTTTCTAATATAAACACGAGTTGTAAAACATGTGGCAACCCTTTTCGAACTATTTTTTTACTAAAACCCTATTAAATCCCTCTTGTCTGACGTCCATATTGTGATACATATTCCAATTATCAAATTCCTTTAATTCAAGAAGAATTTGATTTTTCAAACAGATGGCAACCCCCCTGCATGTAGTTTAGAACTAAAACCCTTATCAAAAACCTTTTGATTGATACCCTTATTATAGTAATTCATTTAAATTAAATGAATTTAATTTTTAAACGGGTGGCAACGCTTGTAAAACACCTCAGTAATATGTTTAATGTTCAACCTGAAAGTTTCTTAGCAATCTTTCATTTGACACCCATATATTAATTTTTTAGATAGCTTGTGATCAGTTAATTTATATTTGGCTTTTCGAACAGATGGAAACCCTTTCAAACTACAACTTTTTTAAGCCTCTTGTCATCCATTCTCTAATATAATTTTCAAATAAATAATCCCCTTAATTCAAGTCGATTTGATTTTTTTAAACAGGTGGCAGCCTCCTCGATGAAAATGTAATTTTTTTATATACGTAT